TCCATCACCACGATTTTTTGATTGGCCAGTTCCTGCCCAATCACCCCCTGCTGTCTACGCCGTTATTTGCTAGCAATGATGTGGTGTTAACCCTGCGACCTTTGGTATTTTCTGGGACCGAGTCCAATTTCTTGTTTGCCTCAGGCATCCCCCCCCACGTGGAGTTACTACGGCAACTGGATCGAAATGAAAAATCGATCCAAAGTATTCCTGTTGTCGTATTAAATGGTGTTCGCCAGATCGTGGACGAAAGGGGCCTTGCTGCTGGTAACATCACGCAGGCGTTCTTAGAAAGCACCCTCTCCAAAGCTGTCGCAACGGTTGTACAACAAGTACGACCTGGTGCTCCTCCATCCCCAACACCGACTAACGAAGTCGATCCGGACAGCTCTGTGTTTTTATGGGGAGGCATGTTGCACATGCTTCCGGAAGGTTTCAAATTTCCGAGTGTCGATTTGGCTACTGCATGGAGTTTATGGTGGCGTGGCAATCCTGCACAGAAGATCATACCGTTCCGAAAAATATCAACTCGTGATTTGTCGCTGATATCCGAACGCAAAGAGTATTACGAATGGAAATTCATTATGGATCGAATGTCTAAGTTCTACATGGCCAAGCAAGGCTCACCTCCATGCCCTTCGGCCAGTGCGCTGGAGCTGGCAGCATCGTTTGTCGTCGCCAATGGCCTTTTGGACCCTATTCGAACAACCACGTCAAAAAAACGTTCTCGACGGGACGGACAACTACGTGTGTCAACGGCCGCCAGACTTGTCCGGCAAATGGAGCCAACCGAAGACCCTCGGCCCTACCGCAAACGAAACAAGCGAGCTGCAGAGACCTAGTGAGAGCGTTTAAACAGTGATGTTAGAACATGTTGTCAGTTGGATGTGTTGTTCGTACCTTGTGGGCAGATGGGACCGCACTCGGAGTCTTCCAGCATCGGCAGACACATACTCATAAACAGATTCATGAGAGTCAGAAAGATCACATAGGCACAGATGGGTACATTACCTGAGTACAACACACATATATTGCATGTGCATAGTACAGAGCCCGATCGGGTTAGACACGCTGTGCCGCCGTGCGCTTGTCAAGGTCAGCGTGGAAATTGGAATGGCACGTGTGGTCTGGTTTCACGAATTGAACCAATCAAACGAACAAAACATTTTCATTGGACAAAACACATTTCGCCGAAATTGGTTCCTACGAATTCCAATCACAATACAAATAATGTACCGTAAGTGTTTGGCGCGCACTGTATGATTGGCTTACGAACTTCGAAATACATTGTAGCTAACCACAAAGCAGTTCACAGTTTTGAACATACAAGTACAGTATTCTATTTTAACTGAAGTGGTTGGATTGTTCAAAGTTTCCGATGAGAGCTGACGCTGTGGGGCAGTGGTTAGAATTTCGATTGCAAAGTGGGGACACACACATGGGTCCGAATCCCTGATTTGATGATTTTTTACTATTTTGATGTCGTGGATAAGGCAATTTGATGCTTATTTCCTGGGACATTAGATGCATGATGTGTGTTTGCTTGTTTCATCAAAGATGAATGTATTTTTGGTGCTCATTTTGATTCCGAAACTACCGAATTCGTAACCTACGTCCGATAGATTGGAATTCGAGGACACATTACATAGTTCCAAAGCGTTGAAATCATCGTATCGAGAATTGACATGGGCATAGAATTCGTTGCGTCACAAGTATGAACTAGAGTCCCGTGGAATTGAATCGCATGTCGACAGTAAACGCAATCGTAGTGGCTACTAGGATCTAGTATTAACGTTAGGCAACTGTTGAGAGGCCTTAGCTGTCCACGCAGTTAACATGGCTATACCGTTGAACTCATACATTGTTTGTGACTAAAGTGGAACCTAACGTTATCGCAATCACCAACATCCAACCTACATGACGGTGCATAGCATTCCGAGTTGCAATACATAGTGGTCACCAGACATGGTGGCGAAACGGTCCGGTTTGCAGTAGGTTGTCGGCGTGGTTGTGCAGAAGGGCGATCCGTCCAGGATGACCGCTAAAGAGGTCATGGAGGGGGGAATAAGATTGCCCCTGAGGTCCACTACAATGGCATGATCAAGACCAGGACACGAAGGTTATCTGCTGCTTGAAAATGAACGTACGGCTACAATACTGTAGTGTTCAGAACTTTGCAAAACCTACCTATGTCGAGTGCCATGACGACAACAAGCACAAATAATTCTGAAAATGATCAAGTTATACGTACCAGTATACTCTAAATGCTGTCAATTACTGCAGTTGATGAATTTTCGGTACGACTCTGCGTAGGTGTAGCGACAATGCAATGGGCAGTAGCAACTACGCAATGCACATCGAGATCTCATTGGCGATAGTGATTGCTGGAATTGTAATGGCTACCAGTAGACAAGCGCTTAAAATAGATATCGTCTTACGATCATGCACAAATACCTTTGCGCAGCCACCGCGGCATTGTTATGAAAGACCAACGGATGCAGTCCATACCCCTGAGTGTGTTCTGGTGCGCCTACCTATACATGCCAGCGGTGTTATACATTTACGTGACTAACATGCACCTCCCGCCCATCAAGTACTGCCAGCCGTACCTCATGGTAGCCACGGGAATCTTTAGTACGCTATACTGCTTGACGGTGCCGCTGGTTCTGATTCTTGGCCCCAACTGGCCGTCCCCTATCCTAATCGTTTGTGGCTACTTCGTCCCCAGTCTTATCTGGTATGTATGCTAGTTCTCTAGTTCTTCCCCATCGACGACTAATTCATGTGACATGGTACAGTGTGTCGTTCATCTTGAGTGCAGGCGCCGTGGTGGTCATGTTTAAAATCACAGACTTGATTGTACTGCACACGCACTTTTCCCCGTCGCAAGTCGACCGCCTCAGCTTTTACAGGCGATTGTTGTACCCCAAAGTCCAAGTCCTTGCAGTGGTCGTGGGGGGAGTGGTCGTGTCAATGCCGTACTGTGTTGCCCTTTACTCTTTTGGTGACTTGACCGCCGCAGAACTGCTGCAAGGCCACGGTGGCACTGTACGTAATCGCTACAACCATCGTTTCCTTTTTAATCAATCAACACTAGGTGCTTTGGACATCTACATGCGTATTTGCGCTACTCGCGGGCGTTGGGGGAGTAGTCTTGTCAGCACATATGGCGCCTTACATGGACAACTTGGGGCTACGACGTACCTACCGTCGGTCTTGTTTCGCCAGCAGCCTCCTTGTGCTGACAAGCGCTTTGATTTCTACGCTCGAATTGACTATTACGTTGCCTTTGGCTCAAGATTACAACGTGCACAACATCTTGTACACCCTCGCGGCTCAGTATTTTTTCTTTTTCAACCTCGTCGTGCCATTGCGCGACCTCGAGTCGTTTCAACTCATGATGCGTGGCAAGTCGTTGGCCAATGGGACGATGGCGCCATCTCAGCCTACTACGTCATCTCCAGCGACTGCTTGCACCGCTCAGTTGGAGCGGTACTTGCGGTCGGACCATGGCCTGCCGACGTTTATGACGTTCTGCCAGAGGGACTTTCGCACCGAAGAGCTGCGTGCGTGGCAACTTGTCGAGCAATTCAAGCAACGCCTCGTGTCAGCCCAGAAGTTGCTCACCACGTGTCTCGTGCCGCAGTGTGCGTTGGCGTGTCCGACATCCGTGAAGTGGGGCCCCACGTACGCGACAAGGCTGGAGAGCTGGCTGCGTTGCGACGAGGACATTGTGGGAAACGAAGTGCCGACGACTTTCTTTGACGAGTTTCAAGCGGCGCTGCTCGGGGCTCTGTGCGAAGACGTGTGGCTGCGGTTCCAGAGGCAATCGCTGGACTGGATCGACCACGACCGAAGGAGGCGAAGTCTCGAGGGAATGGACACGGTGCTTCGGATGGTGGTAAAAAAGCAACCTGTGGCTGTGGTTGTTACCGATGAGCCCACGCCAGCTTGTGTGGACGACGTATTGGAGTCCATGGATGATGAGGACTTTGTTTCGTTTCAGTCGTGACCTCGGACACGTTGCAAAATATACGCGTAGCTGCTGTGGTTGGGCGTTTGGTTTGTAACTCCTTTCGCCCGCTTATTGAGCTTAAATTGTACTGCATCAATTTGCGGTTAATTTCGAAAATATCTAGTATATTCTGCGGAATCGCATTTAAATTCGTGGAGCTTCATTATATACAGTATCGCGCCTTTGGCATGTACTTCGAAGTGGTTTCGTGGCAATATCGAATTCACTCATTTTATGTTTCGTTGACTGTCAGTATATTTTGTGATTTGCTCAGGTAGATTCGCAAACATCAAATATATTTCGTGACGAGTCCAATACATTTCGCATAAATGGTAACGCAATGAGAGTAAGTAAATATGCAGGAGTGACGACAGTAGGCTCCAACCAATTCGTCGTCCACGTTTTCGGTTCTGTGTTCGAGGTGGAGAGCGTATTGATACAAACGGTTCACATCAACTCCTACGACAATCAACTCTAAAACCTAGATGGCCAGTTTATAGTGCTCGGGACAGTTTAAGGTGCACTCAAATTGGCCAACGGAATTGCTTGGTTTTTGAAATAAAGCCAATCGAATCACTAGAAAAAATGAAATCACCAAAACCTAAATATACAAGATATTTTTCGAAATTAACCGCAAAATGGTGTAGTAAGTCATGTTGCTGAAGCCACGCGCAAGTGCATTATTGCGTGGTAACTTTTGGGGTATTCTTCTCCAAAGTTTGCACATATTCTCGTCCGTGGAGTTTGCTGTTACCGGTACGTTGTATGATACTATTAATAGTAGACGTTGAATCAGTGTTACTATTAAAAATACTACTAGTACTACGTACAGTATTAATAGTAGCACAAATAGGATCAGGCAGTGACTTTTTGTCAACCTACCGGTATTTTCTAGGTTTCATTGCCTAAAAATAAAATAAAAAGCCAAAACTCCCTATTGTTCAATGCCTGCAGTACACCCAGCGCCACATGCGGGGCCGCCAAACTCGCATCTTCAATCACGCAGCCGACGAGTCTTATTCGTTCTAGTGCTGGCCATGCATGTCGCGGTTTGTACGTATTTAGGCCTGTGGATCGCAGTGTTCTTGTTCGCTCCCAGAGCAGACCTGTCCATGGCCAAAGTGTACTCGCCCCTCATCGCCATCGTAAGTTATGCCGTGCTCATTTGCTTGCATTTGAAAGCAGTTGTTTCGATGCTCTTCTCCGCATCTATCTCGACGACTGCACAGTTGTCAGTACATCTCAGCCCCACGACAGACTGTGCCATGGCCGTAGCCGTTTCAGCAGATCGCCGCCGCCGGGATATGCTCGTGATTGTGTTCAACCTGTTCGAGGTTGGCTTCCAGAGCCACCAAGCCCATGCCATGTTCAAAACGTGCGTGGAGCCAGCCAAGGTGATGTCGTATGGCCTCGCGGTGGCCTTGTACAGCTTCGCGTCGCCCCTGTTCTTATTTGTGCGAAGTGTGCGTGCCAAAACTACCCTATTGAACTTTGCCGACGCCTTCGTGAGCTTCACCTTGTCCACAGGCCACCCCCTCTTTTCGCTGGTCATCACCGTGTTCCACTACGTGGTGGTGGAGCCCTCGTTGTCCCAAGACAACCTCTCGGCCACTCGGTCAATGCTGCTTACAAGACGCCTGGTTCCGTCCTCGGCCTTTGACACCATGTGCAAACTCGGCATGCACCTCGGCACGTACATTGCACTTGGACAAGCTCACGCTGCCACCCAATTGCTGAAATCGAGAAAACTGTCGACGACTCCGTTCCTACACAATCCGGCGGAGAGTCACAACCGGTGGCTCCTCCGACTCAATTTGGGGATCAACAGCGGGTGGGCGGTGGTGTTGGTCGTGTCCATGAGCGTTGCCTTGTCGGGGCTTCGTACGCCTTGTCCCGTGTACTGCCTCGCCGAGTCCAGTCCGCTGTGGGACCTCACCTGCCAATGTGCGTACGCCAATGTCAACTGCGTCAAGCTCGGCATTGACGACCCCCTCCCCCTGCTCTCCCCCCAACTCCTGGGCGCGAGTTTGTTTTACCTGCAAATCAGTCGGTGTGCCGTCCCGAATGGGCTGCCACCATCTACATTGGCACCTTTTTCAAACTTGGGCAAGGTAGCTATTCTCTTCTCCAACTTGAGCACGTGGGATGGACCGTTGCCTCCATCCGTGGTAAACTTGTCACTTCGGTTCAGCTCAGTGCTGCAAACGATTCCCAATGTGTTGCAAGGAAAAGACCTGTCCCCCCATCTCGTGGTGGTTGTGATCGAAGGGTGTCGCCTTGGCGACATCCCCCCAATTGTGTTGGCCTCTTGGACGAATGTCATCTACTTATCCCTAATCAACGTCAGCTTAGCTACGTATCCCACGGGCCTGAGTAAATTGCCTGACTTGGAGAATCTCAACCTGAAACTCAACTCCATCACGTCGTTACCCGACTCGCTCGCGTCGCCGTTTGAGCTGCCAAATTTGAAAACAGTTAAGTTATCGTGGAACCAGTTGACCCAAGTACCTGAATCTCTGGCGATGCGGAGCAAAGTATTGCTTCAACTGATTGGCAACCCCATAGAGTCGGCCGAGAACATGTCGGGTACTGCGCTCCAGAACCGAAAGGTGCAGCTCGATGGCACTCCGTTCTGTTTGCATGCGACCCCAGAGATTGCGTCGGCGTGTCGTCCAGTGTGTGGCCATGGATGTGCAGAGGAATGGATTGGAGACCATTATTGCGACTGGGCGTGCTTTACAAAAGCGTGCGATTACGACGGCGGCGACTGCGACGAATTCGGGTTTGAACGATCCACGTGAACACATAAGTCCGTGAAGTTAGATCTTTATAATCAGTTGTTTGTACTACTATGTAAAATAATATAAATTTATATTATAAAATCTTTTAAATTATAAATACTATCTATACCACCTTTTTTATAACATTTTAATAAAATATTTTTAATCATATTATTTTGATTTTATATGATTTATTCAATTTTAAATTTGTTTTTTCCATATTTCAAGGTAATAAAAAAAGGATTAAACATTGCTTTTAATATTAAATTTAGAAAATTCATTATTATTCGAAAAAATTAATTCTAAGTTTGTTTTATAGTATCGTACGACGAGTGGTTTGTAGCAACCTTTGTGCAGATTATAAGTGTCCACGAGTAGCACCCAAATCGCACGAGGAATGCGCTATTTGGTTTTGCAAGTTGAAGTTGCATCCACGGGTATGGTAATGCGACACATGCCCGGATATCTTTGCAGTTTGGGTGTTAATAATCTCAACATGCGCCTCATACTGGTATAACAGCAGCGACTTCGATAGTCGTGCTGACACCAAGATCGTCTGTGCCAGCAAGGAGCAGTGGGTACATTCTACGAGAAGCAGCAGTATGCGCAAATGCATGGGCTTCGTCGCGGTGAAAGATACGTCCGTATCAGGAATAACATGGCACTCTTCGAAGCTATTCAGATGACTGTAGTCGTTCAACGACCGCCACCACCAGAGTGTTTTCTCCTGTGGTAGACTTTCCTATTTGCTGGCGAGCCTTGTAGAGGTCACCTTCCCACCATAAAAACGATGTACCAGGTATATTATAAGGCCTTCGGCTTGCATTTTGAGCTGCCCCACACCTTCATCTCTCCATATTTATCCCAATGCACCACTGAGTCCTAACGCAGAGAAAGTGCGGCTCCGCAAAGACAAGAATAGGACTCGCATGGCTGCTCGGCCAGCAAATCAAGGGTCAACCGAATCTCCGCAAGATCGTCGAAAGCGATTAAGCATCGAAAGTGTTAAACAAGCGGCGCTTCGAAGCAAGGAGACGCCAGTGCAGCATGCAATACGCCTGGAGAAGCTGAAGGCAAAGCGTGGAATGGACTCGATCGAGGAACATGCTATACGCCTGCAGTCCGTCAATTCGAAGCGCGATAAGAAAACTTCCGAGGAGCACGCTTTACGTCTGCAGAAGATGAAGGCACGACGCGACATGGAAGCGCCAGAAGAGCATATCATGCGTCTGCAGAGACTTAAAGTACAACGAAGTATAGAGGGTCCAGAAGAAAATGTCATGCGCCTGTAAAAGCAAAAGGCAGCGCGCGATATGGAAAGCTTTGCATGTGTCTGAAAGCGTCGAAGAACGGAAGAGCCGACTTGAACGCCGGCGACAAGGGCTTCATCGCGTTGAAGAAGCCAAGAGCAACGATAAAATTGCCTCGGAAGCGCAATGTGCTGCACTGGACGGCGCTGGCTTGCTTCATGAATACTCCAAGGACATGAAGTCCAAAATCCTGGGTGAATTGGGATTTGCCCTCTGGAATGGATCAATGTGTGTGCTGTGTGTGCGATCGGTTGGCATGTACAACTGATGTCCATGTGTACTCAACCGAAGATAAGGACATGCTGCAATCCATGGCAGCCCGCTTGCGAAATCCTGACGCCACGTTGTGCGATGAGTTGGTCGCGTTTTACGATTGCAAGGACATCCATCCTGCCTTTGTTGGTTTGATGCTCTCGCGCAAAGGCATCACGCATGCTGGCAACGTCAACAACATCGAAAATCCGAAGGATGTCGACTTCAACGTTTGCTTGGAGTGTGAAACCGTCCTCCTTCAGCCTTGGCTAAGTGAACTGCCACGTCACTACGTGTTTCCGGGCGAGCGTGTGGATGCCGAGCGTGACATCGAGCGTGATTTCGATGACGACCATCCTATGACACATGCCGATCAAGATGCCTGCCAGTATGACGATCCTATCGACGACACTGACGGAAGTTCCCTGGATACGTTGGCAGCCTCCATCGCGCTAAGCATGGCACTAGGTCTGTTCATGTGCTGCTTTGCAGGCCTTATAATATACCTGGTACATGGTATTTATGGTTGGTGACCTCCCCTTGCCCTCATGTCAGCAAGAGCACCTCCATTTAATTTCGTGGCGACCTCAAACTTCACGCTTATATTTCACCAATCCAGCCGTATAATTCAAGCATTCAATTCGCCCATGTAAAATACCGCTAGCTAAATGTCTATTTATTGATCAATTATTCTTCTTAAAAGACGGAGGCGAGCACGAAGTCGCATTACAACAATGTACACTTCTCGAAGAACCCCACTCTCGAACCTTACCGCCCTAGCCTCTTCGCGAATGATGGGAGCGGATGACCACGACGAGTACACTCGTCGAAAAATGAAAGATGTAGATTTTTTTCACCGCGTTAAGACCTCTCGATTCTATATCCCTATTTGCTACTAACATACTGTTAGTATAATTTTGAGAAATGATAACAAATAATGTGAAAAGTTGGTACTATTAATAGTAGCTTATAGGTGGCCTGCACTATAGATAGCCCCAGTCTTCAAAAGGACGAAATAGTTTCGACTAGGATACATTAGAAAACAATCGTGACGTAGTTTCAATAACTACTTATTGCCACTCTTAGCCGCTCTACGCTTCGTGGCTGCGTGCTTTGCCGTCAAGCGCTTCTTTGGCGGTGGGGGTTCCACTACCTTTTCCTCGCTGGATTCACGTTCGTTCGCTCCCGCTGCTAATATCGCTCATTCGTCTGTTTACGCATGGCATGGACCAAAAACACAAGAACATCGAACATGAGGGTACTGTAATTGCGACATCGCTCGATATATTGTGCTTCCGCACGGAAGAAAAAGCGGGATTTTCTGGAGATTGAACAAAGTTGGGTGATGCGTGGAGGATACTCCCCATGCGACGAGTGTACTCGTCCCTCTCCCATCATCCGCGAAGAGGCTAGGGCGGTAGGGTTCGAGAGTGGGGTTCTTCGAGAAGTGCATATTGTTGTAATGCGACTTTTTGTTCGTCTCTGCGACGAACCTGTCCTCACAGTCCACTGGCGGACACACAACTCACTTCTTGCTATTAGTAGGATCAGCCATCGGATTCTACCGGTAGACAGTTCTTTTTACAAATTTATTACAGCCAATGAAGTCCCTCTATACAATATTACCTGTAGTTTTCAGAAATAGCACGAACCAATCAGATTCATTTCTACCACTTTTTTTCTTGATTTAGAAAAAAGACGTCAATAACTCTTTTTGCTATTTTGGTGTGGTAATGTGAATTCCAAGTAAAAACAAGAGTTGATTGGCCAAACCAAACGAGATACTTGACATGAGGCCAGAGTTGGTGGTCACGATGGCTGCCATGGCGGCGGCAATCATCGCCACGATGGACGGACGCCCTGATCGACACTTACCAACATAACAGTTCAGTATCCGTACAGACACCTGGGCTCGTGTGCAAGACGATGAACAGCTCGATGGTTGGTTTCACAGAAACTTCCGATGCAGCCGGGCGGCGTTTGATGTGATTGCGACCAAAGTCCAAGACAGATGGGGCCAGCTTTACGAGCCCTTGCATCACAACGCTGTCGTCTCCATCCGCGACAGGGTTGCCCTGACGATTCACTACTTGACGCATGGTGGTAGTCTTGCCAGTTCTGGCCAAGTCTTCGGCATGTCAAAACCACGATCACACGCATACGTCCAAGAAGTAACGCAGGTTATTTTGACGTACTGTACCTGCACGAGGTCATCGACCTGCCAACGTTGAACGATGAATGGACAAGTAACACCGAGGCGTTCGAGAGCATGTGTGGACACTAGTCAATTTTGCCCTTCTTGCGCCGTTCCCGCTGTCCCTGCATTTAAAGTTGCACTTCGAATTTGCGCTTCCCAGGGCCGTTCAGGCGTCATCCACGTTGGTCACGTCGTCCTGAAGTCCTTCAACTGTCGAAGTGTCATCCACTGATTTCGCCGGAGAGGGCGGATCACTCGTTCCAAATTCATGGAGGCCAAGTCCCGTCTTATCCCCGAAGTGCTCAACGAGAGATTCCCAAAACATTGGTAGGTCAAACGGTCGCTCCCGTCGCATTTCCAGATTCGTTGTCCATCGACCACCGAAGCGTGGAGAACTCCGACTTGACGACTCCGACTTGACGGCTTGGAACTTGTTCTTCAACTTTGGCACCTCGACCGCTGTCATCATCTTGATATTGAACAACAAGGCGGTTCTCTCTCATGCCGCCACCAGTTGTGCCTTTCTCTTGTTGTCGTTGAAGTAATTCTTGTTCGTTTCGAAGCGACACGCAAGGATGCACTTGACCATTGCGTCAGTCCATTTCACGTTGGGCACGGATGGACCAGCTTGGCCTTCAAGGTTTGCTTCCAGCTGTCTCACGCGTTCCAGTAGGTCTTTCTTGGTAGGAGCTTTGTTCGGTCCCCGTGGCTTGGCCATGAGAGCTCTCTCTGTATTATTGAAAAGCAGAAATGACACTTCATGATGCGCTGACGGATTTGACCGCGAAAACCAAGCATCCAATCAAATCATGACAAACCTTGCCGCGATAAACATCGATGATATGGTCGTTGGCCAATGAAAACGTCGAATTTGTGTAAGTCAACATTGTTAAAAATCGCAGAAAATGACTTCAAAAATTGGACACTGTACTTGGGATCAAATTTCTTTCGTTTTTGATTTGCCAAAAATAATCTACTCGGAACTGGCCTTAAAGTTCACCTGGTATGCAGATCGATGACGTTTTCGATGTACCTTAGCTTTTAATGTGACACATATGGAGTACTGTATGCACACAAATGCCCACGTTAGTGTCTAAGTGGCCGTCGCAGTACTTTCCGCGAAACTCCTGCCAAAGTCGTTCGTGTCAGTTTATGATTCATGATATGGACCCAACTACCATTCAAATAGTGTTACAGTCTGTACTCCGGGTGTGCCAAATATTAAGAGCATCATCGGTCGAGGTGCGGCATTACAATCAATTATGGAAGTCCTTGGTGAAAATTCGATTCTATTTTTCACGCAAATGATTGCAAGTTAGCATGGAATTCATGAATTGTAAAGAGGACGATAACATTAGTAGCCAAGATGGAGTAGATGGCGGCACCATAATTGCCGACGCGAAAATGCCAGTGGCATCATAACTGTTAAAATTGTTAAATATATTAGATTAGACATCTCAAAATATATACCGGTTCCTTAAAATGGTTATTCGGAAATATATACGTTTTACGAAATAAATGTGCCGGATACAAAACACGAAAATTCGTAAACCCAGATAGTGGACGTATTTTGATTTGATATTTGTATGTCAAAATCATATCCAGAGATATAAAGGGTTTTACGAAATCGAGTATCGGGACACAGTTTCAGAATCTTTAATCAGCAATGCCATCGGCCAAAGGAAAGGCCCCAGCGGCACCGCCCACTGAGGACATAAGATCTGTCAAAAACTGGGGATCAAGGTGTGTTGACTCGCTATGGCAGTAAAACACGCTATCAGTACAAGAAGACGCTGTTGCGTATGAATATCGTATTAATACTGAGCACAATTATGAGCATCATGTGCGTATCTTGACTTTGATGTCGAAGGCAACGGCAATACCTCCACCATCACACACATACACTAACGTTATTCTACCTCAGCCATTTCTAGGGCCTGGTGAGGTGAGGCAGTCGTCCCTTTGTGTCCACCACACCACCACTTCCCACAACAGAATCATCAAATAGGCTGCCTTCGCCACGTACCGCGACATGGGCGATTCCACGAAATCTTCTCTGGGGGTTGCTAAACCACGATTCTGTCTCATTTCTCGTATAGTATAGCTATAAATTACCTAGGAATAGAATGCATTGGTCTAAGGGGACGGCGCGTTCGCTATCCCCTTAGGCCAATACTGTGCCGCGATATATCCAAGACGGCGACGCGTATCGCTCCATCAAGTGGCAGGGCCAGCACATCCTCCGGGGTTCGCAGTCATATCGTTCCGAGCAAATTGCGGTC